AGTGGAAAGTTTTGTGTTGGATGCGCGGTCACATTCAACGGGATCCATCTTCTTCACTGCTGCGGGTTGGAACTGGGGTGTGGCTGAATTGCGGTCTTCATCTGCAGATGAAGACCGCAACTTGCAACTGCAGAAGTTGTTTCCTATGTTTGGCGGTGATCGATAGTATTTCGTCGAGAGCATTGCGGTTGGTTAGTAGTGTAGGCTGCCCGTTGTCCAAGCCCTCGATTCCATTGTTCTTGTGTTCCCTTGCTTCTTCATGATTTGTTTTGGATTAATCAGTGAGTAGGCGCTCGGGTGAGTCAAATCCTTCTGGTGTATCTGTGTTTGGTGTCTAAGTTTGGAGCACCGTTGATGGTGATTGTGCTGGTGGCACATTTTCACAACTTGGGTGGGCTCAACATCAAAGGGATTGGGTGCCGCTGAACACCTCTTGCTGCTGCATTGAGTTTTCTTTTAGTTGTTCTTTGTTATTCTTGCGGAATTCTCTTGATGGTCCAAAACACAGATATGTGTGCTAGCTCGATGTTCTTTGTGTTGTGTTCCTGTGGCACGGAGGTGAAGCTTCTTATTTTTGAGATGAACGGTGGAAGACGGCAGCGCAGTCGACAAAGTGCGGTTCACCTTTTAGTATTAAAGTGTTGTGGCTATTTTATTTTCTACTTGTTCCTCGTTTTTTATTCAGTCGGCAACTGTGTTTCCGTGTGGTGCTGGCGATCACTATTACCCTTTGGTGGTCAAAGTGGAGGCGTGACATCGTCGTTGTGTGCGCGGAGAGGTGCCAAGGTTACAATTTCTCATCGGATCCATAAGTGCTAATATAGCCATGATAGGAATAAGCGAGCTTCCCAACATGTTCTTGCAGTCCGATCAGGTTGCAAGCATAGCACATTTCATAGAGCTATCAAGTTACAATAGAGTTTAAATTATCAAGTGTGTAGAATTCAGATTTGAAATCTCGCGCCATCTCGGACTAGCCGTTAGATTGGGATACAGTTGAGCAGTGAAGCCTAGTTTGGTAGTTACAATTTTCCACACTAATCAAAGAGCCGGCTCAATTGGACGAAATTGCACCTCAATTGGACAAAGTTGCATTTGAGAGTCCTACCACTACCACAGGGAGTGGTCTGCTCAGAAAGGCATTTATGTCGAATTGCGTTTCACTATAAGGAACATCCTCACAAAGAAACTAATTCTAACAGATGAATTTTATGGATGAAATTAGGAGTATGGATGAAATTTAGATTTGAATGAACAAGGATTGTGGATGAATTTTTATTCGTAGATGAAAATTCATTTGCGGATGAGAACTCATTCATGGATGATAACTTATACTTGAATAAAGTCTTATTAACTATTCATTTATTACAAAAAATATAAATTTAGTATGACATATTATTGTAACGGTGCATTGTACTGAAGCTTTTATTGAGTTATTGGATTGTTTTAAAAAAGTCAAGAATTCATTTTGTAATACTTAAGCAATAGCTACAAGAAAAAAATTCTTTTGAATAATTAATTGTTGCAAATTAGAATAAGGTTCCAATTTGTAGAGAGTGATTTTAGTTCACATGGTCCTTCACCAACCTTCTTCCTCATCAAAAACCAATTACATGTAAATGGATTCTAAAACTCAAATTCAACAGCATTGCTGCAATAGATTGATACAAAGCTTGTTTTGTGGCATGCAACTTTAATCAAGTTCTTAGATTGGACTATTATAAGACTTTCTTCCATATTATCCAAATTTAATTCATCCAATTGTTACTTGATCTTGCCTCCCAAATAGATTTGCACATCCATCAAATGAACATCAAAATTGCATGCTTAAATAGCTTCTTATAAGAAAAGATTTATAAGTAAGTTCTTGAAGGCATCTCTTTTCTTTGCCTTGGCATAGTATGCCCCCTTTGCAAAACCTTTTATAGATTGAAACAATTCCTCTACAAATGGTTCAAAGTCATTAATCAATTTTTGGCAATCTTCAATTTTGTCAATTCATAAATTGACATAAAGTTCTTGTACACCAATGTTGTTGTTCATTAAATTAAACCAAAATATGTATACATTTTAATATTTTGTCATCATCATACTTACTTAATACATACACAATCTAAGTTCCATACACATTTGTATATACAAGCATACATTTTAATACCTTTGTGGCACAATAGGCTTTTACTTCAAATATTGGTATTTTGCTCATGTTTTACACTTCCATTATAGAATCAATGATATAAATTTGGCCAAAAAAATTCACAAGCAATGATCTACTTTCAAATGTATTTTTTTCTTATCAAATGATATTATTAGTTGGAGTTCTTTTTACCAATATTCTATTATATTATCCAATATCAAAGCCAAATACATGGTGATGATAACTATGGCTTTCAAATTAATATGGGTCCATCAATTACTCCATGATCTTTGTCATAGAAAAATTATCATCCAATCATCACTAAACTATTATGACAATGAATTTGCACTTGTTCTTATTGAAATTACCAAATTCTATTCAGAAATAAAGTATATTGCAACTTGCTATCAATTCACTTGTCAACTTACTACTCTCAAGAAAGTTCAATTATAATATTATTCCATTCATGACATGCATACTAATATTTTTACCAAGTCTTCATCTAAGCCAAAGCTTACCCAATATTTGCCATTACTTGGCCTACTTAGAGGAAAAACCTTACAAATACCATGACTTAATTAAATACTTGTTTTGGAATTCAACATTCAATTAACCAATCATAGTATTATATTAGAAATAGGGTAAACACTTGCATCATGTTAAGGAAACACAATCCTTCTAGTTACAACTTTTTTGACAAAATAAACTTTATACAAACCTTACATTATATAATAGCTTAACCTCTTTAAAAATCTTATAGTTTTAATAGTAGAAATATTACAAGAGACCTCATAAAGGTGGATGAGATAGTTAATGACAAATACAACAATGAAGTCATCTTCTTTGATAATAATGAGTATGTATTAGTAAGCATCATCTCAATGGATTAGTGCTATAATATAGAATAGTGGAAAATGTCAGCCTTAAAACTATGCATATGTCAAAACTATAGCCATGGTCTATAATACCTCCTAGCTAGCCGATTGATCTCGGTCTAACAACTAATCATTGACTAAAGCCACATCATTGAAGGAGAAGAAGGTGCATCAATCATTATTTCTAACAATATTAGTAAAGCAAACTTGAATGGAATAAATTAAATCAAGTATAAGAGACATTTTTCCTTTCAACCTTGAGTTCAACCAAGTTGGATTATATTTATATTGCAGTGCTTCAACATCATCTTATATTCTGTAAAGGAAAGTAGAGTAAATTGGCCTTGCAAGGCTAGACTAATTGCAATTACAACCACATTATATGGTGGATATTGGTAGGTGGGTGGATAGATTGGGAAGCTTGGATTGATGATCTTGTGCATGAAGCATGCTAATTAGCTTCAAATATTTGAACAAGTTACATTAGATGCAATCAATCATAGTATTATTACAAATCTCTTTTAATTTATATTTTAGTAATAACTAAGAAATTCATATCTTTCTAAAAAAAGAAAAGAAAAAAAATAAGTAAAAATTTTATTTTTGATTTAAAATTTTAATAGCAACTAAAGGATCTTTATATTTAGGAGATAAGGTGAAAAGTCACAATTTTAAAATCTTTTGATTAGTTGATATCATGAACCTTTACTTAGTTGGTTTTATGTCGAAAAAAAATCAACTTGAAGGTACTAAGAGAATTGCATATTTTTTCTATATCACATGAATATTGTTAGGTTTACTTTATGATGACTTTCTAGAAAAAATTGAGAATTTATATTAAAAATTACTAAAAATGACTAATTATAAATTTATTTTATTTAATTTTTTAATTTTAAGAATAAGGATGTAAATTGATAAGATTAGATTTGTAATAAAAAAATATACATATATATATATATATATATATATATTATTTAGCTTCTTTTATATTTATATTATATTTATATTAAAAGTTAAATCTTCTAAAAAAACATAATGTTTTAGTAAAAAATGACCTTAATAAGGCTTATGCAATATGGCCTTTCAAAATAGGCTTTTAGGTATATTAATAAGTGTAAAAAGATTATCATTGTTGTTTTTAAAAATTTAGAAATATTTAGTTTTTTAAAAAATTATTCTTTATTGTATTATCTTTGTATTAATTTTTTATTTATCTATGTAATATATGTAATAATTAAGGTATTTAGTATAATTTACATTCTTTAGTTGGTTTTTTTGTCATAGTATTTATATTTAAGTATCAAAATATCTTTTTTATTCATCACATTACAATATTTTGTAATTATATTATTTTTACATTATAATTAATCCTTTTTTGCTATTATATTATTTTATTAATATCTCAAGCATCCATATCATTTAAATAATTTGCCATGAGTAAAAAATATGTAAACTAAAAGTATAGATTATATTAAAAACATATATGTCTACATACATTAAATATTTGAATATTGAATTATTTAGATTTTTTATAATTTATTAAATTATATTTAATTTTCTTTAAAAGATAGAAATTTTTACAAATATATATATATATATATATTCTTATTTATACTCATTATTAGATTAGATTCTATTAGAATTAAATTTAGAAAGCATAAGTTATTTCTATATAATTCAAAATAATTCAAAATCTAAATATTACTATTTAAGTAAAATAATTCAAAATTAATATTTTTTAACACTTATCATTTTTTGATATATATATCTATATAAATATACATATATATATAGATATATATAGATATATACTCAAACATTCAAATCTTGTAATGTAATCATTACTACTTCTTTATATATTCATGGTTTATGAATTATTTTGTGTATCTTCAAAAATTAGTTTTTATTTTTTTTCCTTACTTTGATTTTTTTATTAAAAATATTTTACATAGATTTGCTATCCATAATATGCTCCTTGATCTGAGGTATTATTGTATGAGAACTCCCCAGTCATAATTTTCAATAATGGTGATCAAAGAATACACAAAACTTGATACTCTAAATCGTCCTGCTACAACTGCCAAATTGCAGAACTGCAATTTTAGCAAAATATTTAGGATATGCTTACATTATCTAATTACATTATCTCCTCATTAACGTGAAGTACATAGCACTAACTATGTTTCCAACTCATTTCCAACTTAAGAAAAGTACAGTACCAAAAAAAATGCACAAAATTGTGCACCAAACCCCTTGGAACTGGACCTCTGTATCCGCCATATACTTCGCTCCGAGCACAGTCAAGGTTTCGGCAAGCCCCGCATTATGTTCTCATCCCGACTCTGCAACTGAAAAAACTGGATTCCGCATCGTAATCCAATACCGAACAGCCACTCCCGCACACCACATTCCGGCTATCGCGTCTACGTCTGGTCTGACAAGCGCCAACTGGATCCAAGTGGTCCCTAAAGCCACTTCTCCCACAACTCCCCACATCGAGGCGTCACTACCCCCCCCCCCCTTCAGCCTCCTCAACTACCCTCCTGTGACCCATAATATCACAAACACCTCCACACCTCCAAAGCCTCCACTTCCTCCTCTATAAACCACATTTGCTTCACCCTGCATCCACCCGCCACCACTCCATCTTCGTAACGCCTCTTCTGCTGCCTCCGTTGCACACTCCGAGCATTCCCGGTCCCACATGCACCGTTTCTCAATCCCCTGCCCATCCACTTCGCACCGAGAGTGCCTCCCTCCCCTGTCCATCGCCCCGCAACAACCACGCCCACTCCTCCACACTTCCCACGCCTTCCCTCCCAATCTACACTTTCGCATCCGCGTACGCTCCACCACGGACCGGCTTCTCACCATCTCTACCCACGGCTGGAGCGGGGACCTCTCCCCACCACCTCATCCATGACGCCCTTCCTGCATCGCTTTACATCCTGCTTTACCAACTTCGAGCGCCCGCTGCCATGTTCTCGTGTTCCAGCTGCACCTGCTGCATCCACTGCGGGTTCGCCCCACCGGTCCGCTACCTCCATCCCTCGTTGTGAATCCGGCGCGTCCCTCGTTCCGTGTGGTCACGGTGAGCCACCTGAACTCGTGCCCACCCGACCTCCGTCACCGATCAACCGGTGCATGAGCCGGTGCCCCCCGCTGTCGAGTCCGCTCCCTGTCTTCTCCTGCACGTCTGGGCTCTGCGCTCCCTCAACTCCTGCGCACCTCCAACGCTTCCGCTATTCGCCCCACGCTCGTCAGCAACCTGTCCAGCACCTTCATCAGGTCCTTCCCTTCTTCTGTCCGCAGCTCGCGATCGTGACGGAGCTGCAGCTGCAGGTTGCGGCTCGTGCTTTCCACGGCGGCCAGCAACCTCTCCTCCATCGACTCCGGCCGCCGCTTCCTCTTCTTCCTTTTCGTCGGGCTCCCCTCCATCTTGGGGCAGCCTGCACGCCACACCCACACATGCTTCACCACAACTTCACCGTCCCACACTACCGCGGCTCATCCGCCGCGCACCACACTACACACCCACAACCATGCATTCCACCGCCCACTTCCTTTCGCTGCCTACCCACACTTGGCTCCCACATCACTCCCAGGACACCCCATTTACCGGTCACGTCGGTCGAGCATCCCACGCCGCACTCCTCCGACGAAACTCCGTTCCCGGGACTTTCCACCTCATCCGCCCCCGCCCCCGTGCCCGCACCCGCTTCCTCCTTGCCCACCGCCGCCGCTTCCGGAGTCGCCTTCGTTGAGACGGCGGGCAACTTCTTGCAGTAGTCCTCCAACACGTCGAACACCTCGTGCTCGAAACTGGATGCCAGCTTCTGTTCCCTCCGCTGCTCCGCGCTCATCCTCCAGTACGAACCCCCGCGCAGCTTCTCGTAGTCCTTGATCTTCTTGTAGTCTTTGTACAGGCTGTGCCACCGCTTCCGGCATTGGCTCGCGTCTCGCTCCACCCCGAGATCCTTGCAGTATTGGAATATGGTCACCCACTTCACGTCCGACGCGTCCACGCCCTTGGCGCTGCTGTCCAGAGACCTGTCCAGCTCCTTGCTCTTGGCAGCCACCAGGATTAGGGATTCGTGCTTGGTCCACCGCAAGCCCCTCTGCCCCTTATCGGGACCTTCCATCCTCGGAGACATGCTCACGCTCTTCGTCGCTGCGCATGGAGGACGGCTTTCCCCTCCGCCACTTGCTGGGCCACCAGCGACCTCTTGCATCGTCCCTCGGCGTCAGGCTCGTACACCTGCAAGGCCAGCATCCGGCACTTTCAGACATGCGAGACGCGCGCTCGTGTGAACGCGCTGGCCAGCAATGGGACCCTGGCTGCAATGGGTCCTCCCTGGACTTCCAAACGCCGATCTCCTTCCCACACCACTGCGTACCATTCCGTCGCAGCGACAACCGCGCCGTGAACGCGTAGTAGCAGCACGATCCCAGAGAATGGCAGCTCCGACAGAGCGCCAGCATGCGAAATCGGTGGCGCTTGGCGCAGGTCCACGACATGGTGAAAACCACCGATACGACATAAAACGGATGAACGCCAGGTACCGGACAAGACAGCACAGAACTTGCAAGCACACGAATTATAGCGTTCAACGGACGGGCCAACTCGAGGGCCAGGGCGTACGAATTCTATGCTGGCCAGTTTTCATGATGAAGCAGCGACATCAAGCAATAACCGTCGCAAGTCTCAACCACGGCGACAGGGTACCCCACATAATCGAATTCACTCACCCGAGCTAACGCTTGCGCATCAATTGCTCTCGGACCACCGCCCTGACCGTCGGCGACACCCAACACGACATCCGAGATGATTGCCAATTTTGCGTCGCTCAAACGCCGAGAGCAAGAAGACGCCAATTCAGCCCAGGTTGACGGGAGTCGACGTCGCTGTACGCTTACTAGCGTCCCAGACCATGCCGTCTCGAACCCCCACCAACTCGTCCAATGCAGACCTGGATGCTGAAGTCGCAGGCCATCGCCAATTCACTCACGCCGCACTGAACCTAATCCTCGAAACCGTCGCTTCGTCGCGACCCCTTAGATACCGCGGGAATACTTCCGCATTTTCCGGCCTCTCAATTGGGAAAGCCAATACCAGAAACTGAACGGAACGGAACCAACCAAAAGGTCACAGTATATGCCCTAATTTTCGCGCAGCTCCAAACTGCGAACAAAAGTGCATGCGTCACTTCTCTGAATTCGGTTACTCTCTATCGGGACAGATCGATGCTGCAGCTCAACGCAATTTCAATGGGGCTCCTCTACCCCCACCTTTACGGCTCCTCGCCCTGTCGAGCTAAAAAATCACACACGTCCCAAGCGACACCCACGATACGCCGTGGCAGACCCACTTCCAGCAAAGCTCAATATACGATCGCGGGGCCGCCCGCGCGATCGAGACCGCACAAGACCCGATTCAGACCTGATCAGTCGGTCAAATGATGGGGAGAGCGTGCGTGCGCGCGATCACCACAGCGGAGGTTGCGCCACGGGGCCATGGCGGTGGGGCGTCATGCAAAGAAGCCCCGTGATGGTCCGCATGAAGGGGCCGCGGATGGCAGCGACGGCGGATCAGAGTGAGGCGGGGCCATGCGAGGAGGCTATGAGGGTGGAGTGAACGCGACGGAAGCGACGACGCCTCTGATGCAGCACCAGCAGCGAGTACCCTTGACTTGGCTTGGCTGTGGCGCGGTTGTGGGCGTCACTTGCCCACGCCCACCTCTCCCAGTCCTCTCCGGCCTCCTTCACGGACCTCGTTCACGCTGAGTTTTCTGATGCTGGTACTGCATATTGACAACATTAGGACCAATGGGCATCAAGGGGTCTTTACGTATGGGTGCATTTTTTTTGCTAGTTTCCAGACCACACATTCGGAATTTGCATGACTACGGTCTTGGACGACGAAGTCCAAGAGTCAGCCTTGATGTTTTTATGATTTTTTGTTCTCTTGTTGAAACTTGTGATGTTTACTTTTGAATTGTGTGCTCTACAGCTTTCATTGCAGTGAGAGTGATAGAAATTGTAGACAATGTATCCATGATATGTTTACTTGGTTGCAATAATGTAGATTGTATGTATTTTTGTGAATTATGAAGTGTTAAATAATGTACAAATCCATTGTAAAGGATGTCTTACTTGCATCAAGGTCAATAGTTTTAAAGGTTTTAATAATCAATCTTGCTAAGTGTTTCATGGAGGCACGTATCACAACATTTAAGATAGAGACGTATGTGTTTTTATGTTGGTATATAGGTACATATGTATTGTAAATATATGTTATCATGCATCTTTAACTTGGATATTGTGCATTGCTTGTGTTAGTATACATTTATTAGCATATGGTAAAATAATGTGGATATTTTTATTCTGACTTAAGTTAATATTTCTTGAAAAAATCAATGAACTTTTCTTGCTTTTAGTGTTTATTTTTAAAAATTATATGTATTTTTTGAAGTAAAAAATGTGTTACATTTAACGATTTCTAGAAGTTATAAGAACAATAATATTAATAATATAAAAAAATTAAACTTTAAAAATATGGTTTTATATTAAAAAATACTAATATTTATAAACTTTAATTATCATTTAAACAACAAGGTATCTTTAAACTTATAAGAGTTTTGAATATTTAATTTTTTATTATTTGATATCCATAAATTATTTAATTTTTTAAATTATGTTTTAAAAGTATTAAAATCTAAATAAATATGATAAATAAACTATATTATTGCTAATTGAGTCTATGTAATAGCCAAAATGAAATATATATTTATATATAATATTTTATGATATATATATATATATATATATATATATATATATATAAGAGATAGAGATTATTTGTTATAATATATTGTACTATAGAACTTTCTAAAACAAAATTAAAGTTTTATATATGTATACATATATTTTTTTCCTTCTATTTTTTGAATTTTTTTATACAATAATATTTATAAACCACCTTTGTTAATTAAGAATATTTCAAAAGAATCATTCTAACAAGGAGATCTAAACCAATAGGGCATTGATAATAAAAGATAGGTTGGAGATATTTGACCCACTTTAAAACCAAATGTCTTAAAATTTGGATTGAAACATGTTGGATCAATAGAATAAGTAGCCATAAATAAAAAGACAACTAGCTACCAATAATTAATTGAAGTATAAATTATCACCAAGGCCAATGGTTGGGAGGTGTTTCCAAATCCTAAGTACATGGTAGGACTTTAATTATTTTTGTTGTTGTTGTTGATTACATAGTTTTATCTGAATTAATTGTAAATATATATTTCTTTCTAAATTACTACTATGTTATATTAATAATTAGATCTAAGTTGATTTTTTGCAATCTTCTAATAAAATTGAGCTGTAAATAAAATTGAGCTGTAAATAGTCTAGTTCAAGCTAGCAATTGGGGCAAAGTTCCTCTCAACATGAATTTTAACAACTTGTCAATTTTGAAACAAGAAAAATTATTTCGAATTCGAATTTCTAAATTTATATTAAATTAAAAATGTAGAAATCCAATACTGATTTAAAGTAATTAAAATAATCTTTCTAAACCAAAGCCAAGTCCAAAGAGAAGTTCTTGATCTATCAAATTTTTGTCCTATTTACATTTGAAGTACTAGAATTCAATCTTAAATCCACTAAATAATAAATTTTTGTTCTCTTCTTGTAGTGGCATACACTACTAATCTAGATAGTTTACTAACCATTGTTTCTCCAATCAATATAATAATCGAGGTTAATAGTATTGAAATAATTAATTTAAAAAAAAAATCATCTATAAGTCAAACATCTACAAGTCAATTGTATATTTGATAAAACGAGAATAATTAAAACAAATACCAAAATTTTTAGTATTTTATATTTAATATAAATATAAATATAAATAAAATTATTTAAATATTTATTATACAAATATGTATTTTACAGTGCATATGTGTATACTTACACATATTTCTTATAATTTTGAAATGTTTTTAATTTTTTAATACTATTTATATAAAAATTATATAAAAATAAATATTAGTTTTCTAATTTAATTCTTCACCTATCTTCAAATTAAAAATATTATATAAGAGAACTAGTATCATATATATATAATTAAATATTTATGCTTTAGATTTATAATAAATTTAGTCTAATTTAATAATAATAATAATAAAATTAAATAATAATTCACTTAGTAAAAACATATTTTTTTAAAACTTTGATTCTATGTAAGTTGATAATTTTAATAAATAAAATAAAATATATAAATTTCAAAAAATATAAAAAAAACTAAACTTGGATTCCTTGTGTGTTTACAACAAGTTACTAGTGTTATGTAAATTGTTTCTTAATATTAATTAAAGAAACTTAGTAAAACAGCAACAATTAGTTTTATTGATAGACATATTGAAATATTCTAGACTTGCGAACAACTTAACCATTAAAACATATCCTCTAAAGGTTGAACAAAACATCTATTCAACATCACTTTTTAACATATTAAAAGAAAAAACCATAACATTATTACAACATACATTACAACTCTAAGTATTTTGTACTATTTTCTACTTTTATTGGTTTTTGGAATTATTAAATAAAATGATCCTTTTTTTGGATAAAATATTTAAGACATAATATATAAGTTTAATTTTCTATTTTCTATTTTCTATTTTTATTTATAAAATTAATCAATAGTTTATTTATTTATTTAGTACCAAGATTTACACTTAATTAATAATAATAATAATAATAATAATATAAATCTTATTTTATAATACATTATAGATGTTTTATTTATTCAAGCTAGATCAATAAGCATCTTTTGATATACCATATAGCTCAAGATTATATATATATATATATATATATAAAATACCATGAAAAAATACAGAGATAAATATTTGTATTAACAAATAAAATAGAATTAAATAGAAGTGAATAAAAGAAGATAAGGTAGGCAATATCTTCCTCAGTCAAAATCAAAGAATACTATTAAATTCAAATTGGATCTAGATGTACTATGTCACTAAAATAATTTCTACAATAAATTTCTCAATTTCTAAAAATTTACTGTGTAAGCTTCTGAGAAGTTGCATAACTAGCCCGTAAGCCTTGTAGGCTTTAAAAAAACACTGTGGTATGTCATTCTTGTCATTTAATATATACAAAGATAAATTTAAGGCTATCTTTAGTCTTGTGCATTTATTACAAGAAAAATTACAAAATAATAAGTATTGCAAAAAAAAGCAAGAAAAAAATTGTTCTATAGTACCAACTTTTTCTTGCTTTTTTTTACAAAGTTGGTACTATAGAACATTTTTTTTGTGCATTTGTTTTGTATCTTTATCTACTTTTTTATTTAAAAAAAAAAAAAAAAAAAACAATGAGTCTTTTATGTAATCAAGTTGCCAGTAGTTTTTTTCTATTTTTTTTTGATAAATAAATATTCTTATACCTTAAACGTTTGTTTTTTTTGCCAAATTTTATTTTAAAAAATAAAAATTGGCCTATGCATAAAATTATATTCTACAATAAAATAACATCTTTACATCTTAATATACTTGTCAAAACCATTATTTAAAGAAATCATGCAAATATACAAGATTCTCAAACAACGAAGAGTTTTACAAATTCACATCATACGCACAACAAAAGATCTGCCAACTAACTTGCAGGACCTGCCATTGTTGCAATCAATCGATGTGAGACATACGAAATCTTTCACACCAAATAAAAACAAAAATCCTTGGAAAATCTTCACCCATACTAACCACGATCATCCAAGAAGTGAAGGGACCACGGCATTAGAATTCCAACACAGTAAAAATTAATGGACAAGGACTAGCTCTCTTGACAACGACCAACTCCAGCT